AAGAAATGTAGGGGGCTACGTTTGTCATTTTGATGGTTTTCCACGACCCAAAAACCACTAAAAAAACAACGTAGGGGGCTACGTTTCTTATTCTGGGGAGGTTCACCTACCCCTATCCCCTACCCCTAAGCCCACCCCTGAACCCCCTAAAATGAGAAATGTAAGGGGCTACGTTTCTTATTTTGATGGTTTTCCACGACCCAAAAACCTCTAAAAGGAGAAATGTAGGGGGCTACGTTTCTTGTTTTGACGGTTTTCCACGACCCAAAAACCACTGAAATAAGAAACGTAGGGGGCTACGTTTTTTATTTTGGTGGTTTTCGACGACCAAAAAACCCCTAAAATAAGAACCATAGGGGGCTACGTTTCTTATTCTGGATGGGTTATCCCCTACCTCTCAGCCCACCCCTGAACCCACCTAAATATGAAATGCAGGGGGCTTCGTTTCTTATTTTGACGGTTTTCCACGACCCAAAAACCGCTGAAATAAGAAACGTAGGGGGCTACGTTTCTTATTTTGGTGGTTTTCCACGACCCAAAAACCTCTAAAAGGAGAAATGTAGGGGGCTACGTTTCCTATTTTGATGGTTTTCCACGACCCAAAAACCGCTGAAATAAGAAACGTAGGGGGCTACGTTTTTTATTCTGGTGGTTTTCCAAGACCCGAAAACCACTAAAGTGAGAAACGTAGGGGGCTACGTTTCTTATTTTGGCGGGTTCACCTATTCTTATCACCTACCCCTCAGCCCACCCTTGAACCCCCGAAAATAAGGAATGTGGGGGGCTACGTTTTTTATTTTGATAGTTTTCCACGACCCCAAAACCCCTTACCAAAATCAGCATTTCTTAATTTTGGGTTGTGGTTACATTGCGTATTGTGGGTTGGAGGCTCCATGGCCTAATGCATAAGGCAACTTTCTCAACACCAGACTTCTCAACCTTGAGGGGCTCGAACGCCGGAATAAGAAATGGGCTAAGAAATGAAGGGTACCCAACAGCTGGGGCTCTGAAATAATGGAAATGTGAAAACACTGNNCCCATTTCTTATCCAGGAGATGCATTGTAGATGGAATTCCATAGTCATGCCATTGCAGCGCTTTGGGTGTAGGGCTTAGGGCAGGATGCTACGCTTCCTTGTTAGGGATGCGTGCGGCGGGTACTTTCAGAAACTCGAACAGCACTTTTTTAAAGGCTACCGAACCGTCGTCGCGCTCTTTTTCTCGCTTTTGAGAATGCCGCCCCTTCTGCACCCTTCTTCAGTGCTGACGGGTGGCTTGGTGTGCGAGCTGTAGAAAAGAGTCACTGTACCGCATCATAGACAGTAGAACGGCCTAGGCATCTGCAGGGTGGCATGCCTCGTGGCAGCAGGCCAAACAGGCAGCAGTTTAGAAGCAGCTGCAGCAGAAGCCCCAAGACAAAGCCCACACAAAATACAGGTTCGCCTGTGATCAGAAAGCTCTCCGCCACACCTGCCCCAAGCGCAAACAAGGCTGAACAGGCGCAGGCCACCAAATAGCCTCCGGCAAAGAGCAGCACATTGCGGAGAACTCCTGCCAGCAGAACCAAAAAAAAAAAACGCAAACCAATTGGGCTATAGTCTCAACTCCTAGTTTTTTCTTCGGGAAGCCCCTGTAACATTTCCCTATGAAAGACCCTATATATCACCCTTTAATAAAATTGAGGAGTTTAGACCCCTACACCCTAAACC